TATAGATATATATATATATATTAGTAGCAGCAGAAACAAATCTTAAATTAGACACATAACAATCTCAAGCATTAAGGATCATCAGTGGGTCGTTCAGAACATCCCCAGTTTCATCAATGCAAGTAGAAGTGGGAGAAACACTGCTGAGAATAAGGAGAGTTTAATGTTGGCATTCTGGGTCAATCTGAAAGGACATGATGGCAAGATTACTGGGATTTACAGGAGCCTGGAAGACATTTATACAGAATACAAAAACTGTGGGGGTGGGAAGAAAAACAAGATTAAAATGAAAAGAAAATGTAATTACTTGACTCAGAATAGGACACTCAGGTCTCAACTACAACTTACACAAAATAGACAAACATCCAACAGGATAATGTATACATTGTAACCATCCAGAAACAGTAGAACATGTACACCGCAATGCATACAATACCCAAAGAAATCATTTATTTCTGTTATTAAGAGAGGAAATCATCGGGACTTTACACTGACAGGACTATTGGATAATAAATCAACTAATATACACAGTAAAGTAGCATCATTGCTAAGGGAAAGTAGAATCTAGTACGGTTTTTTTTTTTGTACTATTTTGTATTGCTTTTGTTTTGCTGCCTAATCTCCAGATCCACACGCCAGTCCGGTAAGTGGCGGTAATGCACCTTATACAAGTATGCCAACTGCCAACAAAAATCAACAGAAGAAGTAGGTGGAGGTGCACAGGGCTCAAAAGTAGCTAGCAACCAGAGAAATTTGCAGTGTAGCATCTCCATTTTTGCTGCACTTTCCCATACTACTTTTGCTGTGGCCCAGTTGTGCTGGGAAGTGGGAATTTCCATTGTTGGAAAGTGGGAGAGTTCTGAACTCAAGATGGCTGGCAGCTACTAATCACAACTTCACAGTGAGTAAAACTCTCTTACTTTTATTATTAATAGTATTTCTGTATTATATATTTCACATTTAGTTAGTTGTACACATCGTACTTTTCAGTGTTTATAAGTAGATGTGTTAAACACTGTTTCTATGCAGGAAATACCACATAGAGCTCAGTTATTGTTTGTTAGCTGTGCTTTGCCGTAGCAATGAGACGAGGAATGTGATGTTTTGTGTTTCAATCGAAGTTAAACATAAAACGTAATTAATTACAACTGGTTCTTTGAGGTTCCACCAAAATGCTCATGTGACCCTTGATGAAAATGATTTTGACCCCCTGGTCTACAGATTGAACTGTTTGTTTCCTCATGAATAAATGGGAGAAAACAGAAGTGATCACAGTCATTGTGAATTTCACAAAACAAGAAAATTAGATTACAATCTAACAGATTTTCATTTTATTCTTATCATCTTTCTTTTTTTATATTGGTACTGCAAAGACACTATTTGATGTGAAACAGTCCAGCTGCTTAAAATCATAAACATTAAACAAACCTTTTGCCTTTTTTATTGTTAATTTAAATACTTTTTTTATTACCATTCAAAGCAAAATGCTTTGTTTCTGATGTCATTCACCCAGATGTAGCTGGTTGTCAACTAAAACATCATTACTGAGGTGAAACTTGGATTTAGACTCACTTGAGCAGCTGCTGCAGGAAGTTCCTCACTTTGCCATCAGGGGACACAAGACACTAAYGTTTAGTTACAGGAAGAGACTTGCACACTTCTCTTATCCTGCACAAGATTATTGCCCATTTAAAGTGGACACACCCACTCATTCATTTTAATTGTAATGTGTGCTGCAGAAACTCTAAAGCAGCTCACAGGGAGGACTCCACTCTCACCCACAGTTCCCACAGAAATCCAGGAGGTTTTTTTTTTTCACAGTTCTGTCACAGTTAATGAACATGACAGCACAGCCAGACTTCATTATTTAAGAATTTATTGTTTCACACTTGAGGCTTTTGAGCGTCCATTTACATTTCTGGTGAGTTTTTACTTTGCAGTGCAAACAGTTTCTGTAATTTTATGATTTAAAACATCTGCTACTTGTGTTTAGCAGGGTGTGACGCTTTAATTGAAATGTAGAGCTTTTTTTTTTTTTAATTTCCCCTCTCTGTGTAGGTGGGCTGTAGGGTTTTTTTTTTTTTTTTTTTTTTTTTAGGACAGACGCTTGTTCAGTTGTGACACATTTATTTTATAAAACCAACAGCACAGAATGTCAAGATAAGCCATTTTTGGATCTCACCTTGTTGAAGCAACACATTTAGTCAAACTGTAATAATCTGCTTTTTTAAATAGAAAATAAACTGAATAAAAGAAATCATGTCTGACTGATGTTATAAAAGCTTTTTTTATTTCAAGTTGTGGATTATATTGATTTTTAGTCTTTCAGTTATAAGGACATGTGGGCAATAAGGTTTTATCTGTGTCTCTCTGTTTACTGGGCTGCCGTGTTAGCAAAATATCTCACGAACCACTAGAAAGATTTTAATAAAACTCAAGTAATYGGTCAATGTCCAACTGACCTTAGGAAATACAAAAATGGTTGAACCTGAGCCAGTTGTACAAATATTTAGCTACCGTAGCTATATTTTTATGGTTGTAGCTGAGCATCCCTCCGAACACGAACAATATTTAGTTTTACAAACTGTGCAAAATGTTTGCTTCAAATTTTAGTATAAATTGTTGGTGTCAAAAGTTAACGTTTTTCTGTTTGGTTGATCCCCTCAGCAGGGATCACCACGAGCAGATTTGCTTGAAAGATGTGGCAATTGTTTAACCTGAATGTCATTCCTGGCACAAACTGGACTTRATGAAACTATCAGGAAGTARTATGGATCCACAATTAAATGACTTTTAGAGTMACCCTAATTAAAGATGGTTGCTAAAGCTAATTGACATTCTTCAAGCTAAACCTGGTCAACTCTGCAGATAATAGACTGGTGTGGTAGTAGCCTGAGGGTCATCCTCGACACTGAGAGCTAACACATCTTGAATGCTGCATGTGCATCAGGGTTTAACCAAAATAGCTACAAGTCCTCCAACACTTCTGCTCATAAGATGATCTTAGTTTAAATTCCAGTGTGGACAGTGGTGGGTGATATGCATTCTTACAAAAAAAAAAAAAAAAAAAAAGCCATGTCCATGATTCATAAGGAGGTCATCTTTGGATTCCTGAAAAACAGGAGTCTATTGAAATGAAGACTTTATCACAGTTTGCACACAGGATGAGGAGCCTCAGACAATTCTGCTGCTTTTATCTGACAGCAGCATGAATCCTGACCAGGTCTCGTGACCAAGCTTGGCTTCTTTTTTCTTTTCYTTTTTTTTWAAATCATGAACAAAGGTATYCCAGAAGCCTTCACAATACATCTGCTGACAGGAATGTCTTTGAAGCAGCACACCCTGAAAACYTTTGGTGGTGGAAGGTCAGCAGAAAAACAGCACGCCACTGATGAGTTTAGTATGAAAAACAAGAGCTGTTTTTCTAATTCTGCTTTCATTCAACTTCAATGAAACATGCATTATAATGAGGTTAATGTTTCACTTAGATTTTATTTGGAAGTTTWTAGACTTGGTGAGGTAGGAATTTAGGAAATCAAGGAGCGAGGTGTTTATTTTACATCACTTAGCAGTTAATTTGAGTTTAATCAAAGAAATGAATAGGAGCTGTGTTTACAGGCTGGCATGTCTGTGGTGCATTACTTTAAAGGTTCTGTAAGGATGCAAATCAAACTGGGTGTGTGTGTGTGTGTGTGTGTGTGTGTGTGTGTGTGCTAATCTCTTAAAAATTGACTAAAAGTTTGTAAAAATGTAATTTAGCTGTAGCAGCCATCTTGAATTGTATTGACTTCAAAAGTTGAGCAGCTCTTCCTGAAAGTTTGACTCAAATCTAATCAGTTGTTTGAGATAATTTGCTAACAAACAGGGTTGACTTGAATAGTTTGTGTTAACACTGAAGCACAGATTTGCACAATAAGTAGCACCTGTAGGATGTGTTTTGTGGATGACTCAGCTACAAACACACC